CGCCATGCTACCCGTCGTTCCCACTGCCCGCGGTCCGGTCGTCCCACGCCCCTACACCGCCGCTATTCCGTTGGCCTCCACCCGCTCAACCCTGCATCTCTTGTGCGCGCGTCGGCCTGAGCCTCCGCCCCCCTCCGCGGCTTTCCCTTGACCTCCGCCCCCTCGACCCCGCATCCCTCGTGCCGCCACTTCGGCCGTCGGTACCCGCCTCGGCCTGGGACTCACCCCTGTGCCGGTTCGCCTGCCCGCATCCCTCGTGCCACCGCTTCAGCCGTCGGTACCCACCTCCGCCTGGGACTCGCCCCTGCGCCGGTTCGCCTGCCCAGTTCCGCCCCTCCACGGGTTTCCCTTGGGCCCGCGACCGAGCGTGTCGTCGGGCCCTTTGTATCTTTTCTTTGTATAAAGATAAATAATATACGAAGACAAAAAAAAAAGTGAAGATGGTCATTTTTCCATGCTTGCTGCCAGAGCATAGAGAAGGCTTGACTGACTAATTCTCCTTCCCTCCACAAACCAAGAAAAGACGTGGGGACCACGACTCTTAATCTACTTTGGTATACGACTGGTCGATGGTATAGACACCAAGTCCGAATAGAGTTTTTGAAATGAACCGCACAAAATCATAGTGTGAGAGTAGTGCAATGTCAGAGAAAATTATCTTCTTTGAGTCTGTTTTCTGACGCATGCTCATCTGATGGAGAGCAATGCACATGTCCAAGCAGTGCCAGTGTGACGAACACGGCAGAGAACAAAACGATGTAATGCAATGTAGCACAGTGGAAGACTCAAAGATAGCACCTGACACACCAGATCCCGACTCGACTCACACAATCAACATCGCACATGTCACACAGCAAGGAAGGGGATGATACACGAAAGAAAGGCCCCTCCTTGCAAATGCACATGGGAAAGAAACCACGGATGATGAAAGGGGGAGGAGAGACGAAGGTGGAGGGGGGAGTAGAACTAGTCGTCGTCCAGGAGATAGCCTCCCCGGCAAGGATCCCACCAATGTCTGCCCTCAAAGTGCCGAATCGAATCCAGGGCACTCATAAGCCTGAAATAGTCACCGCCTTAAATATCTCTCTCTCTCTCTCTCTCTCTCTCTCTCTCTCTCTCTCTCTCTCTCTCTCTCTCTCTCTCTCTCTCTCTCTCTCTCTCTC